TGTCCCCACCCCCTGGCGCCCGGCAGCCTCTAAAGGTTGGGGACCACTGGTCTAACCTGTTCTTGAATATCTCCAGTGATGGAGATTCCACAACCTCCCTGCACAATTTATTCTGGTGTTTAACCATCCTGACAGGACATTTTTCCTAATGTCCAACCTAAACCTTCCTTGTGGCAATTTAAGCCCATTGATTCTTGTCCTATCATCATCAGCCCAGGTGTACAATTTTTCTCTCTCCTTGTAACACCTTTTTTGATACTTGAAAACTGCTATCATGTCCCCTCTCCGTCTTCCCTTTTCTAAACTAAAGCTAGGGATGTGAAGGACTAGTCACTCCCTCCCCCCCCCCCTTGATGCCTCTATCAGGTAGAGACAGCAAGGAAGAGAGAAAAGGGGGGGGTACTTCAAAGTGACAGTGCTGCACATAGCCTGGGGGCAGCTGTTCCATGTGGTGCTGCCACTTTGAATACCATGGGGAGCCTGGTTTCAGGCTCCTCATGGCATTTCAAAGCAGCAGTGCCACATGGAGCCCTGGATCAGCTGGGGACTCCCTAGCTGACCCCGGGCTCCATGTGGCACTGCCACTTTGAAATGCCGCAGGGAGCCCGGAGTCAGCTGTAGACTCTCCATGGCATTTCTATGTGGTAGCACCGCACGGAGCCCGGGGCCAGTGGGGGATTCTCCAGCTGATCTCAGGCTTCGGTGCTTTTGCCTTTGATGTGTAGCAACAGCCTTAGCGCTGTTGCTACACTCAAAGGCAGAGGTGCCATATCGACTAATCGAATAGTCGATGCAAAAATGCACCGACTATTCAATTAGTCAATTACCCGATACTTAACATCCTTAAAACAAGCCCAATGTTTTCAGCCTTCCCTCATAGGTCATGTTTTCTAGACCTTTAATCATTTATGTTGCTCTTTTCTGGTCCTTCTCCAATTTCTCCACATCTTTCTTAAAATGTGATACCCAGAACTGGACACAATACTCCAATTGGGGCCTAACGAACGCAGAGTAGAGCGGAAGAATGACTTCTTGTGTCTTGTCCACAACACTCTTGATTGGTAGTTCTCACTCACACTTCCTCATGCAATCCATACATATTCATAAGCATGAATACAACTGATTCTATTAAGGCAATGTGATTTTTTCCAAGCGAGCTGTTAACATTGAGGCTTTTGACTACATAGCATAACAAAGATCTACCTAAACCACATTTTTTCAACACATCAGGAAACTTGTTCAAATTGTAGCTGAGGGAGAGAACCAGAAGGGGGTTGTGTCCAACTGGTTACATTCCAATGAGGGGGCCGTGTCTGGGTGGCTACAGATCACAGAGGATTACAGTGGGGAATGTTAAAATGCTCATAATGATTCCGGGAGACTCAGCATACCCCTTACTCCCATGGCTCATGCACCCCTAACCCCTTGTTCTTGGCCCACTTCTGACCCCCCACCCCAACCACTTACCATAGCCAGGAGTCCCTGCCTGCATTTTGAACTCATTTCAAGTCCTACCTAGACTCCACATCTGCAGCTGGAGGTCTTGCTCCCTTTTGCAGCCCAACCCCCTGTTCCCAACCTGGTGAAATAAATAAATGGTGGGGTGGGGGGGGGCAGGGCAAGTGTGGCTTTCTGCAATTAGAAAGATGCTTAATCCTTTCTGGACATGTATCACACTTGCCTACAGAGCAGTAAAGTTTGAACTGCTGCTGAGAGTGGTCAGGATAGGCATTGTGGGGACACCACCAGGAGGCTATTTACAGTGACAAAACCAAGCATGGTGTCTACTTTAAATCTTTGCCATAAATAGCCCTATGTCGATCATTGAGGTGATTTCATTGTGTCACCAAAACCAGGAGAGTTTTCTTGCCAAAAATTGCATTGCCGAGTGAGCACTTTCAGAGTTTTGCCAACCAAAGGCAGCTTTTCTCAACAAAACCATGGGTTGACAAAACTCTGAAAGGCAGCTTTTCTCAACAAAACCATGAAGTGTAGACAAGACCTTAGAGATTATTTTGGTGGATTTATTGTGCTAACATCTGGGTGTTCTTGTTTTTGCCCTCAATTCTTTAATTCGTCATTCTGTTCATCTTCTAAGTTTAAAATATTTAAATATATAAAATTGTTTTAAGAGACAGATGCAAATGTGTAGCAACAAAACTATAATGTGCATGCAAAAGTATATTCCAGTAATAAGTTGAACTGATAAGTCATAGTTCTTGTCTATGCTTCTAAGAGTTCTACACTATATGTATACCAGCAACCCCCCCTAGTGGAGCTATACCTTATTCTTGGCAAAAAGTTCTCTGGCTGGCATAGTTTTCCATTCAAAATAAGCTATAACAACCTCAGAGTTCTTTTTCACGGCTATAACTACATCTACACTCAGGCTTTGTGCCAATATATAAATGTCATAAAGAAATACAACCCCTACCTGACATTATACTGTCACAGGTTTCTAGTGTAGACCTAGCTATGCATAACTTCATGAAATATCTGTGTAATGTTTCCTATCTACTTTTGACAGAATTCTAGATCAAAATGCATATTTGTTCCCTCCCTCAACTGGTAAGTCTGCTTGTGAAAAGACTTCTAAGCGTATATCTACACTGCATGGCTATTTTTGGGATACCAGAGGTATCCCAAAATAGCTACCCCGCATCTACAGAAGCCATACATTAATTTGAAACATTTTTTGAAATAACAGGTGCGCTATTTCGCCATCCTGGTAAACCTCATTGCAGGAGGGATAAGGGATGGCTTGAAATAATGCACTATTTTGAAATCTGGCGCTGTGCAGCTGTGCCAAATTTCAAAATAAGCTATTTTGAAATAAGATATGCAATTTCCATAGTGCAAATTGTGTATCTTATTTTGAGTTTAGGATGCTGTGTAGCTGCACCCTAAGTGGCAAATGAATGGCAGATGTCTCATTTCTGTTTGGTGCCTCAGCTGAGCCCAGAGCCACCCTGATACTCAGGAGGATGGCATAGGTGCTAAGAGCAGGAGTGCTGGGGTAGAGCTGAAGTGGTTTCCATCATGTGTAGGGTTTGCCGTTTTGTTTAATGGCTTTTGGCAGCACTGCACTATAAAACTGTCCCAGCACCTATGGGGGCTTATGAAGAGAAGAAAAGGGATGGAGAGGCGAGAGGAGGAGAGAGCAGGACAAACTGGGAGAGGGGGGGGGAAAGGTAAGTGAGAGAGAAGGAAAAAAATCAGAGGGGTGCGAATCGCAGAAATAATGAGTGAAACGGACGCTACCGTTAAAAAAGAGGAACGGAACCTAAAGCTGACTATAAGAAAAGGGAGAGTGGAGAGGGGAAAGGAAGAATCTTAGTAAGGACAGGAAAGAGCGCAGCCCTCATCCTGATTATTGGCTTCCCCTTTTACACCCGTGTGAGGGCTTGTTTCCAGCTGGAGTAGCCCAGGACTAACTGCACCTGTGCGGCCCCTCCTATTGTGGAATAAGAGTGGCCGCAGCTGGAATGACTTCAGCGCTATCGCACTTGAAATTCACGCGCTGCCTTTCATCCCACTCCCCTACCCCGCCGAGCTCGGTGGGGTTCCTCCCTCCACGCAGGGACTGCAGGAGGCGGGCGGGAAGGGGACAAGCTGGAGGCGGCGGCGGCCGAGCCATGGCAGGCAGTGGCAGGGCAGAGGCACGGAGGACGGGGCGGTAGGTGCGGTGGGGCGGGAGAGGCGCGAGGGGGGGGCAGCCCCAGGACTCTGCAGCGTGGCCGGCGGCGTTTCCCTCCCTCGGCGTCCGCCAGGCGGGGCCGCGAGCTGGGCAGCCAGAGCGGAGCCCAGGCGGGTCCCTGCAGTGGGGGCGAGCCTGGGAGTCGGGCGCTGCCAGCCGCGCTGCGAGAGGACTAAGGGGGCCGGGCTAGGGCAGCCCCGCGGCCGCAATGGGCAGGTGCAGCCGGTGGCCGCTGTGCATGTCCCCGCAGGGGCAGCAGCAAGCTGAGCCCCCCTCCGGCGCCCCAGTGTGGCGAGAGGATGGGAGCTAAGTGGGCGCTGCAGCGTCTCCTCGCCAGGAGGCGGCTGCGGGGCTCCGGCTGGCGCGTGTAGGTGAAGGGGCGCTGCCTTTCCCCTCCCTTTCTCTCGAGCCGGGGAAAGTTGGGACCAGGAGGGAGGGGTTGGGAGGGACTGCAGGGCGGATGGCGGAGTGAACTGCCAGGCGGAGAAGGGCAGGGCTGGCTCTGAAATCCCAGGCACCGAGGCAGAGTTGGCTGGGGCTGGAGAGGGGCTCGCCACAGGTAGGTTGTGCGGGGGGCGGGGGAGGCGTCTCCGACCCCACGGACTGCCTGCCAGGGGAAAGTTTTGAGCCGCCCCCCAGGAGGGGAGGGCGAACACTGATTGTCTTGCAACTGTTTATCTCCTGCTCCATCTCTTCTCCGTCGCCCAGACACAGAGGTGGATTTCTGCGTTAAAGAGATTTGGACCTTAGTTTGCCTTCCCTAGCGCGGCTACAACTGGCAGTCAGTGTGTGTGTGTGTGTGTGTGTGATTGTGATGGGTCATCAACTCTCTCATTTTTTTAAAAAAAAAATCTGGCTGGCTGATAAGAAACTGTTCACGGAAGTAGAGAGAGCAGGCAGCAAAGTGAAATGTGTGGCATGTCGTCTGAGGTCCGTTTCTTCATCCAATACTACACAGGAACTAGGCCGAGAAGTGCATTTATTCTAGGGTTGTAGATATTCTGGAAATAAGGTGATACGGTGGGGTTTTTTAAGGGCTTTGTGCAAAGGTAGCTCAAATGTCACTTTTTACAAAAAAACTGGAAACTATTTGAAAGGCTTGTAAATATGTACCAAATATCCCATTTTTGTCTGCCCCACAAAATGGTATTGTGTATATCTTTTAATCAGTAGCCAGGGTAGTTATATTGGGAGGACTTCTGGTAAAATCGTGGTAAAATCCTGATACATTATAAATCTCTGCTATAGAGTCCTAAACTATTTTGCTTTGCTTTTGTAAACCAGAGGAAGAAACAGACAGCATATGCTTACTGTAGGAAATTACAAAGAGATCAAGTTTGGCTCTCCTGGTTTTAACAATACTTGTCTGTATTTGTCCTTAAAGAAACCATGCTGGCTAGCAGTTATTTTAAAACAGCTCTTATCAAAATGAATAAAAGATTAATGAAAATCATGCATGAAGTCAGGTAATGGAAGTGAATGCTTGATAGGAGTTCTGGAGTCTGCTCTAGCTTATTTAGAAAGCTTCCTTTAATTCTAGCTATATCCACTTTACAGCTGTAATATTTTTAAAACATTCTGATTAAAAATATTTGATTTTATGCCAGCTTTTATTAATTATACTTCACTAAGTTTGTACAGCATTTCTTAAAGGTGTAAGAAGATGCAGCCTATAAAAACATACAGGCAAAGTGTGGGGAGTAGAAGCAGCACAAGACCTTTACTTATTAACAAAGTTGTATGTTGCGTTAGTACAAATGCAAGGTGAAAAACAAGCGAGCTGAAATGTTCCTAATTGTTCTCTTCCTAGGGATTGTGGATTTACATAGCCATTCCTTTTGATGTGAATGCAGCATCTCTTGTCCCTCTGGGATGCCTTAGGTGATGCCCAGCTCTACTGCAATGGCAATTGGAGCTCTCTCTAGTTCTCTTCTTGTAACCTGCTGTCTCATGGTTGCTCTCTGTAGCTCCACCATACCTGTGCAAAAATTGGCCAAGGCTCCAGATAAACAGGAGATAAAAACAAGCCAGGAAAAAAGGGATCATACATCAACCAGGGACAGTCAGACAGGCCCAGGGAAAATAAATGAAATTGGAAGGAATGGGCAGGAAGAGGGCACCAGGGATTGGAAAAACAAAGGAAACAGAAATTATTCAAACAAAGAATCGTGGACTAAGCAAAAACAAGTTTGGAATAGTCAGGGAACAACCAGTAAATCAGGGAACATTCAAGCACAGGAGCAAAGGGATGGTGTTCCAGAAGAACCTCAGGCAGCTGAAGAATCATCCCTCCCAGAAGTTGTTGCTAGTGCAACGCCTGAGCCCCCAGAGGAGTACGCTTATCCAGACTACCGTGGGAAAGGCTGTGTGGATGAGAGTGGCTTCGTTTACGCTATTGGGGAGAAGTTTACACCAGGTCCCTCAGCCTGCCCCTGCCTTTGTACTGAAGAGGGACCTCTGTGCATTCAACCAGAGTGCCCAAAACTCCATCCGCGGTGTATTCATGTAGATACCAGTCAATGCTGCCCACAGTGCAAAGAGAGGAAGAACTACTGTGAGTTCAGAGGAAAGACCTACCAAACACTAGAAGAATTCATGGTAAGGGTTTTAAAAACTCGTTTTTGAGACTTGGTATGTCATTTTAAAGTGACTTTATGTTCTTGAAACTGTTTCTTAGAGAGGGATTTTTCTTTTTTATATTGCACCTACACCTACCTATATTTTCTCTTAAATATGACCTTTCTGGTTCAGTGAAACCGTAACACTTTGAAGTGAGGGAGATGATCTCTATTAATTCCTTTGATATTTATAGTAGTAAAACATCGCACAACGAAGCCATTCAGCATTAGTGTGTGCGCGCAATTCATTTCCACAGGATTTTCATTACATTTTCACCATTATATTTATAGTTCTCTTATTTTATAATATTAACCATAAAACTTTTTCTTTGTGAAACTTAATTGTCATTTGGGGCTGATTTTCATTATATAACAATTAGTGACAGCAATGCATACTTTAATCCATTTTTTAGAGTGTTCAAACTGGGATGTCATTACATAATTTTCTGTGGGCATGACTATGGACATTGGTGTATTAATCAGAATATATGGTTCAGATTCAGAGAGATTATGGCAATACTTAGTCAAATTTTCTGTCCAGTGGAATACTTCTATACTGAAGCATTTTTAAAATTTTGTTTTTATAGAAAACTTTAGTGTTCTTTATCATCGCAGTGCATCTTGTGTATTGAAACAGTGTTTGACTTAAGGCCTAATTGTACAGTTCCTTGTTCATTCTTTCCTTCCATGTAAACAGATTTTCATTATAGCTGAATTCTGTAAACAGGTACTGTTGTGCGTGCACATTTGGGAGTGTGCATCTGTTAGAAAAGGGCCTAATCAAAACTGAGATCTGAATGCTCCTGAACTTTTGGGAGTTGGGTATAACAAAGGGAGTTAGAAATTCAGCCCAGAATTTTGCAGTTTATGCCTGTTGTTACATAGTGTGAGTGTGTGTGTGTAGATGGAGAAAAAATATTGAATGAAGGTTATAAATACACGGCTTATCTCTTTTATGTCATCTGTGGTATTTTCAGTTTTAGGAACTTGTGAATGCATTTTATGTTCTTCACCTTCTAAAAAAGCTGAAGAATGGCTCTGTCCAGAGAATAAATGGGAGCACCTCCTCCCATTGTGGGGTGATTGTGCTCAGAATACTAGCACTCTTCAGGGCATATGCCACCAAACTGTGGGTCACTCCTCTTTTTCCTCTCCAGCGTCGTAAGTCTTTGTACAGCAGCTTATTCCTTTAAAACAGAAGAAATAACTTTAAATGTGTGTGATTGGTGTGCCCTTTTAGGACCCAAGTTTGAAATTCTTATTATTTCAGCAAAATACATTCAGAAGCAAAGTCAATTTAGCATGATAGCAGTTTTCAGGTATCTAGAAGGGTGTCATAAGGAGGAGGGAGAAAACTTGTTCATCTTGGCCTCTGGGGATAGAACAAGAAGCAATGGGCTTAAACTGCAGCAAGGGAGGTTTAGGTTGGACATTAGGAAAAAGTTCCTAACTGTCAGGGTAGTCAAACACTGGAATAAATTGCCCAGGGAGGTTGTGGAATCCCCATCTCTGGAGATATTTAAGAGTAGGTTAGATAAATGTCTATCAGGGATGGTCTAGACAGTACTTGGTCCTGCCATGAGGGCACGGGACTGGACTCGACCTCTCGAGGTCCCTTCCAGTCCTAGTATTCTATGATTCTATGCTTTCCTGCATATGTTGTTTCCAGGTCTCAACAGATTAATGTTGGAATTTTTAAATGTGTGCTTGGTCCACATTTTTCCAGCCCCTCTTCATTTAATGTTAGAATCTTATTCTGTGGCCAGTAGCGCATCCTTAAAATGTGGTTAGGTTTATTAAGTTCAGTGTGTGTTGGAAGAATAAAAGCCACAGGCTCACTGGTGACGGACAATAATCGTGTCTGATACCTTTTGACGTACAATACTGGGAAGTGCCCTTAAATAAAACATAATTCTGAAAAAGATCTGGGTTTCAGCTTTGTTTTACCCCATTCTGATTCTGGCACTTCTAAATGAAACTTTCCCATAATATAGTTCCTCTTTCCAATTATTCATGCTCTGCTAGCCAGGTATGAACAGTATGAATAGGAATGAGTGTGTTCAGTGTGAAATAAGGAAAATAACTACAACTATATAGTAGTTTAATTGCAGCCTGTATGATTTATCATACTGACACCACATAGCTAGGCCTTAACTCTGTGTAGAATACGGGAGGTGCAAAACAGTGGGCCTGGTTATTTTTATATACCATTACAATGAAGATGGTAGGGAAGTAACTTAAATGTGCAATAGGATCAACACTAAATCCATGCATAACTGAAGACAGAAATATCTGTTTCTAGTATTGGAAGCCATTTTTATAACTGTAGTCACAAGTGTCCTATGGATGTTAAGTACAGTACTCTGTTTACTATTTGATTTAGGTCAGAGGGAATACTTGTAAACAGATAATTCTGTTTTCTTTATGTTGGAATACATCTATTCCATTAATGGCAATGAGTCTGATTCTGATAAGTGGGAAAAATTGACTGCTTAAATGATTGCATGACATTTTATGCATATTCATGTGTATGCATGCACAAAGATGCATTGTGTACCTGCATATATATATTTAAAAAAAATCTTCCAAGAGAAGAGAGTTTACCACTGCTTAGGAAGTGGTATTGTTTCTGTGAAGTCTGGTTTATCTCATTCCATTCATGCCTCTGCATACAAACTTTGATTGTATTTGTGTGTATGTGGAAGCATATATTTACTAGTGTTTAAAAAGAAAAATAAATATTGCAAAGCAAAACTTGAAAAAAACAAAACTCAAACTCAGAAGTCTAATAAAGTTGGCTTTATCTACCCCTGGCATTATAGCTTTTTGTGGGAGGCTGTGTTGGGGTATGAAGTTTCAGCATATAGACAGCTTTAATGGAATGGGGGCCAAAAGAACAGTCTCTCAACTGTGATTCAAATGGAATTCCTCAATGAAGATGGACATACCAATATGGTTCTTTATGTGTAGTGGACTTTTAAAAAAAAAAACATTCCAGTGATCATCATTACTGGGCTTTTTTACTTAGTGTCAAATTGGGTACTTCATAAATCACTTCAGAATTTAGTCTTCTCCTACACTTAATGACACTTCCCTCTCCCCTGCAAAGGGTCAGAAATTAGAATAATTTCTAGAGCTGTTTGTTAACATCAATTAATAATGCTGAAACCTTAACTGATCCACCTGCATCCTATTAGGAAAAACTCCAAAGCTGCTGCAGATTTTGCTTTATCATGACTTTAGTCCTATCAAATAACTTAATTTATGAGCAACTCACTTGAAATTCTGGAAGACAACACATCCAGATGGATTTCAAAGCATTTGTGGTACTTTGAAGCCACAGAGAAACACCAAAAAAGGTGGATGTATTAATACTTGTCAGCCTAACTATGTTCATTTTCTCTTGGGAGGGGTGGGGGGAAGAGCAACTGGAATGAACATTACTAGAGAAACCAACCAAAGAGTACATGGATATAGCTTTATGGATTTTAACTTGATTTTCAGAAATGCAAGGAATGAAATGAACACTTTCTGGATTTTTTTTGTTAAAGTTCAAATAAAAATTTTCACTTTCTGTAACCCCGGTGGATTTTTTTTCCTGACGGCCATGGGGGGAGGGGAACCTAAAGCAAAGTACTTTGGTATGCAGGCTGGGCCACATCCTCATTTGGTGCTGTCACAGCTCAATTTAATGTCACAAAGCTCCACTGATTTCAGCAGCTGAGTATCTGGCATGCTGCCTGTATTATGCTTTTAGGGACACCTTAACTGATCCACTTATGTCCTTGCATACTTATTGTCAGGGCTGTTCCCCACTCTGGCACTCCAAGTGCAGAAGATGGGGGCCTGCAAAGACCTTAAATACCTTGCCTCTCTAGACTCTGCTTACAAAAAAACAACAACCTCCCCAGAGTCACAGCTGCACTGGCTCTAAGTGGGTGGGGAGGGGGGG